GGAAAAGACCTGGAATGAAGCTCAGCAGTACTGCAGAGAGAAACACACTGACCTGGTCACAGTGACTAACATGAAGGACATGAAGAGACTCATCAGCATCTCAGCTGGAGATTGGAGGGGAGCCTGGATTGGTCTGTATGATCAAACACATGGTACCAGAACTTGGCGCTGGTCTCAATCTGAAGTGAAGTTCAATGAAAGTGAGACAAACTGGAACACAAACGAGCCAAATGATGCAGGTGGGGTGCAGAACTGTGGAATCATATGGAAGAACCTGAAGTGGGGAGACCTGTCCTGTAATGATGCTCGATATTTTCTCTGCTATGATGGTGAGAACATTTGAGATTAAGGGTTCAATTTAAATCCTGCATTTTGGATGGAAAATCAAAAGTAAAATCTACTTAAATGAAAACAATTAATGGGTGATTTGGGTGCTTGATGAAACCTATGATTGAATATCATAGAAAATTATTTAGGTAGGTTGATGCTCACAATTTCTTTGAATCACAGACAGAAATTCTTCAAAGAAATTCCACTTGATTCAAGAAAACAAAAAGTGGACAGAAGCTCAGAGTTACTGCAGAGAGAAACACACAGAGATGATCAGTGGAACGAAGCAGATAGAGGATGAAGAAGTGAAGAAGGAAATCAACTCTGTGGGAGAAAATACATACATTTTTATTGGTCTGTTCAGAGACACCTGGAGGTGGTCAGATGGAAGCAGTTTCTCTTTCAGACACTGGAATAAATGGTTTGACTATCAGATAATCAATGGTGGTCAATGTGCCATGACTAAGTTTGATGATGGAGGCAGATGGAGGAATGAGAACTGTGATCAAAGAAAACCCTTCATCTGTTATGATGGTGAGTTTTTCTAGTAAAAATTCCCACAATAAGAAAAATAATACTGGATGGCAAAAGAACAGTTGAATTCATTCATCTACCCATTTGCATTTTTATATTTGTGTTTGGAAAAAACATTAAATTAGCTTGAAAATAAAAATATGTTTATCTCAAATCATGAATGTACAAAACACTTGAAATTTCAAAATTTTCTGTCAAATCACAGATATATTTTAGTTTTTCCATGCTATATTTCATTGTTCTTGTTTATAAATAACAGCGTAAGACATAAGGTGTGAGTTATTTTTTCTGTGCTGTGAATTTCTGACAGATAATGTGATCCTGATCAAAGAAAATAAAACCTGGGAGGACGCCTTGACCTACTGCATAGTTCATCACCATGACCTGGTCACCATCACCAACATGGATGATCAGATATCAGTCCAGCAGGAAGCCCAGTTTGCATCGACTGATTATGTCTGGATGGGTCTGCATTACGCCTGGTCTCTGGATTTGTGGTTCTGGGTCAGTGATGAGGTGGTCAGCTATCAGAACTGGGCCTCAGGTGAACCGATGGATGACTGTGACATGTCTGGAGCCATGGAGACGGGAGGAGGATACAAGTGGAGGAAGAAAAGAGATCTTGAGAAGTTTAATTTCATCTGTTCTAAGTAGAGGCCAGCAGGATGGTTGCTTTTAGCCAGGTGTCATTTTTAATCTTTTATTTATTTATTTATTTTGTTTGCCCTGGACCTCAAGAAAGATAAAATGTAATGTTAATTCAATTACTCAATTACAATAAAAGACCAAAAAATAACTGAACATCTTTCTGTTCTTTTCTCTTTAACAAGAGTCAGGCTGAGTAATTTGGTTTTGGTTCATCAGTTCTTTTGCATTTATTGACATTCATCCCAACTTTTAAGTTGTTGCAGAAGCTTCATATAAATTTAGAAAAGATATGCATAAAAAACACATAAAATGACATCAGATCTCTGAAAGATTGTAGAATATCTGAGAAGCAGGAAACTCTCTTAACCATATTTATTTTATTGACTTGAGAAAAGAGTCAGTTAGTCAAAACTTCAAGTATGTAGAGAAAAAATCTGAAAAAAAGAAAACTTTTTAGTCTATAATTTGCACTTTTTTTGCCTATTTTTTACTATTCATAATGAAAAGGAAATCTTTAGCCAACAATAAACCCTGAATGGGTTTGTTTGTTAGTTGTCCTTGAGCACAGCCTAATTAATCTATTTAATATGTTGTTTAAAAACAAAAACAAGCAAAAATGTTTTTTCTTACATTTTTGGAAAGAAATTAAAGCCTCTGAAAACCAAATCAATTTTAGTTTATGGAGCTTTAATGTTATGGATCCTCTTTATGTTTTTAAAAGTTTTCTTATGTCATGACAAATAAAAAAATGCCTCTGAGTTTCGTGACAGGAACAGATGTTTGGATGGAGTAATTTAATATTCAAATACTGACATTAGTGCTGAATAGAACTAATGTCTATTCAGCACTGATGCGGAACAGGAATAATGAACCAGAGGAAGTAGCTTCTCCTGTAAAAGAAAAAAAAAGAAAAAAAAAAGCTTGGAATAAAACATAAATGAGATGTAAAATAAGTCTGTTAAAACATTAAGAGAAAAAAGAAACAAAAAATACTTTGTGATTTTTCTTGTTGTGGAAGGAAAAACCAGCAACAAGTTTTTCTTTCCTGGTTTTTCCATGTGAAGAAAAACTCCGAGGAGAGAAGAAGAGACGATATTTGAGCAACAATCAAAGGAGATTTGAACAAATGCACTTAAGAGCAGTTACTGAAAAGAGCCTATTAGATTGAGATTTCAGATAAATGTTTGAAAGATAATGTAAAAAAAAAAATGTACTGAACTTTACAGACTCTAATGTTGAATCTTTTGACAGTTTTGATAGTTTGTGTAAACTGTTCTAGATAAATAAGTAAAAATCCCCCTGACTTTATTCTGTGACTGATGGAGATTTTTAGCCAGAATGTTTTAATATTCAGAATGTTAAATAGAAGCTATAAATGAGATCCAGGATAAAAAGACTACAGTAAGCAGCTTCATCTGCTGCAGAGTGAAACCTCTGAGATGCAAATGAGTTGGAAATGAGAACCGTGCTTCCAAACAGATGTTTGTTTTAATGATATTCATAAAAACGCTTGGGGAAGTTCTTTTTTTTTTCCACGTTATGAGGAAACTGCTATTTATTACCTGGATTACACTGACATAATTATCTGTATGTTAACACAGTTGACATAAAGCAAACTGAATGTGTTATTCACTGTAAACATACGTAAATGTAACACATGGTGACCTTTCCTTACATCTGTCAGTACAGACTATAAATATGGTAGCCTAAATATCTGAGGGGTGTTTTCATGTTTGAATATTCAAATTACCCACATAAACTCCCAAATGTACAAAAGTTCAGTCAGATTGAACAGAAGATCCACTGAGACATCAAGGCACCATAAGCAGAACTGCAGATGTAAGTTTTTATCCTCGACTCAGACATTTATTTTATTATAGGTGTGTATCCATGTGTTTATTGGTTGAAACATATGTATTACTTGTAAACATGTGTTTTTATTCTTCTTTTTCTTTTCAAAGTGTGATTTAATGAGGTGATGGTGAATTAAGATGCAGTGTGTGTTTGTTGTACATATCATAGGGAACAGCTGCTCTCTGTGTTTTCCTGATCTGCTCCAGTAAAAGCACATGTGAAAAATCCAGTGGAGCTTAGATAAACACTAATTTTTGTAAATCTTCAACAAAGGTTCTATGAAGAGTGCAGTCTGTTTTAGATGTATTTATCTTCAAACAACGTTTAAAAGATTTTTCATTGCTAAAAGGTATTTTCTTGTACTTCAATTTTCTTGTACACACATTTTTTTCAAACAGACAAATCTGTTAAAAGGCAACATCAGATACAACTAACAGCAAATATGCAGTGGACTCTGCTTCTGCTCATTTGGATGAGTAAGTATCTCTGCATGAACTACGTTGTTGAATTTTTCCTAATGAACACAAAGCAGCTAAATATTCACCAAACAGACACCAACATGGTAACATATATTTTGAATAGAAATATCATAGTCAATAATTAAATGCTGCTGCTGGCATTTTCACTGAAATATACTATTTTTGCACCAAAAAGACCATGATATAGTAAAAAACAATACAATTTTAATAAAATATATGATGTAATGACCCTACAGCATGTTAAAACTCTACTGTGATTAATACCACTGAGTGTTTTCTTTCTGTTTCAGCTCAGTGTTGTTTCATTGACTGTCAGCTCTATCAGTTTCACTACATTAATGAAGCAAAGAACTGGACTGAAGCTCAGCAGTACTGCAGAGAGAAACACACTGACCTGGTCACAGTGACTAACATGAAGGACATGAAGAGACTCATCAACATCTCAGCTGGAGATCAGAGCGGAGCTTGGATTGGTCTGTTCAGTGAACCAGAATTCAAAAGAACATGGCACTGGTCTCAATCTGAAGTGAAGTTCAATGAAATTGAGACAAACTGGAACACAAACGAGCCAAATAATGAAGGTGGGATGCAGAACTGTGGAATCATATGGAAGAACCTGAAGTGGGGAGACGCGTACTGTGATGCTCGTCTATATTTTCTCTGCTATGACGGTGAGAACATTTGAGTTTAAGGCTGAATTCAAAACCAGTATTTTGGATAGAACTTTATTTTCAAAAGTTAAGGAAACTATCATAAAATTATTGTTTTAAAATGTTAAGAAAATAAATGGAATTGAGTGACTCGAATAGTTGAACACGTAATTTTTGTCGCAAGCAGAGAAAATATTTGACTAGGCTGATGCTCACACTTTGTTTCTCACACAGACAGAAATTCATCCAAGAAATTCCACTTGATTCAAGAAAATAAAACCTGGACAGAAGCTCAGAGTTACTGTAGAGAGAAACACACAGACCTGATCAGTGGAACGAAGCAGATAGAGGATGAAGAAGTGAAGAATGAAATCAGCCATGTGGGAAGTTATACATACATTTTAACTGGTCTGTTCAGAGACACCTGGAGGTGGTCAGATGGAAGCAGTTTCTCTTTCAGACACTGGAATAAAGGGTTCGACTATCAGGCAAGGTATGATGGTCAATGTGCCTTGACTGTGTTTGATGATGGAGGCAGATGGAGGAATGAGAACTGTACTGAAAGAAAACCCTTCATCTGTTATGATGGTGAGTTTTTCT